TGCAACCTTGTGAAGCTGGTATCAAAATTCTTCCCATGGGGCACCTGGGTGGCTCAGTTGGTTAAGTGTCCAACTTTGGCTCAGGTCATGATCTCACTGTGAGTTTGAGCCTTGCGTTGGGCTCTGTGCTGACAGCTCAGAGCCTGGAACCTGCTTCAGATTCTGTGTCTCCCTCCGTCCCTGTCCCTCCCCCCTCCTCAAAAATAAACATTAAAAAAATTCAAAATTCTTCCCATTTTACGTTTGAAGAAACTGAGTAAATTGCTAAAATGAGATTTCCTGCCTCTGTTCTTGCCCTTGCTGTTCCTCATCTGCATCTCCAGAGCCCCTGCCTCAAAGTGTGGCTTGGTCATTTAATAGTTTGGTTGTGAATCTACTACTCTGTGAGTCTACTAAGCCCAGGGTGTGGGCCCCCAGCAATTCCAGTGTCCTTTGGGAAGGGCAGCAGGAGGCGTATGTGCTGGGGGAGGGGGGAGTGTGTGTCTCAATTCATTTCGGCAATTGAGCCAAAGTATCTACTATGTGGAAATTGGAGGAGGAACATGGAACGTACCCCTTTCCCATTAGTACCATCATTCCTTCCTGTCCATCAAATAGGAAAGGCCCAGACATGACCCCTTGCCAGGATGATGGCTCCAGGGCAGGGATGTGCTCACCTGTTCACCACTGCAACCCTGACATCTAACATAGAGCCCACCACTTAGTAGGTCTTCAAAAAAATATCTACTGTCCACAAGAATAGGGCCCAAGACAGAGGTTCCTACTGTTGTTCAGGATCAGTTTGGTTTTCTGGGATCAAAGATGGCGGAGGCTAGAATTTTTGTGATTTTGGCCAGCTGTGTTGGGACCTTGCAAGGAGGCAGAATTCCAAATGGACACAAGGCATTTTACAACTTTGGCTTTGTCTCCCTGAACCTGGATACCTGCGGTCCAGCCTTTGGTCCAGGAGTCCCAGGTAACTGGATCTTTTTATTGCATAGATGAAACACCTTACTGCTATAAGCGTGGTCCATGGAGCAGCACTCGGGTGCTTTGTAAAAAGGCAGAGCCTCAGGTTCCACCCCAGACCTCCTGAACCAGAATCTACATTTTAACAAGATCTCCAGATGATCCATACACACAGTACAGTTGGAGAAACGTTGCCGTAGATAACCCACCCCATTTCTTTTTGGCCAGATGTGCTTCCGGGGCCCACAGGAGTAGAGAAAAGACATCACGGTTTCCCCAGGTTCTCACTGGGATGAGAACTTAATCCCCTGACCTCTGTCTCCTTATTAATACGTTATTGGAAAGTTGGTAGGCTTCCGTATATCTAGGGGTCTGCACCCAGTAGAACTCCCAGTGCTCACTCAAAATATATTAAAACTATATGAGCGAAGGCCTGATTTAAATTGTTACCTGACCCAGATGGTGCCTGGCACACAGAAGGTGTTTGGTGCACACAGACCAAAGACAGGAATGAATGAATTTCAGTGAGGTAATGTGGAAAGGCTCTGAAGAGGTTAAACTCTTTTTTTTTCCTATCATTATGAAAAATCTTATATAGTGTCTTCTCACTCACCAAGAACTTTCATACACTTAACCAGGTTTGCTGATTTTGTTTCAGTTTATTTGTATCGTCTAAACGCCACAATATAGAATTCGATTATGCACACATTTAGGCAAGGGCGTAAGGTGTACCTCAGTTTTTCTAAATTGGGAGTGGAATTTGATCCTTTAGAGTACCTTTTCTTCTCTGAACTGCCACCAGAGTCCTCAAGCCTCCAGCCTTTTGTAGAGAAGCACTTGTGCCTCTGGAGTAGAAAATCTACCGCGGAATTTGTGTTCTCAGGACAAGCTCTTAATAAACTTTATGGATCCCTGCAAGGAAGGGGAGGAGAAGGTGATGGACGGTGGAGGTGGGAGAGGTGATATTGGAGGCAAAGGAGGTGAAGGTGGTGAGGTGACAGAAGTAGCTGTGAAAGTGATGGTGAAAACGGAAGATGTGGTGCAGTTGGCGATGGCGGAGGAGATAGAGGTAGTGAAACTGACAGATGCGGAGGTGAAGACTTGGAGGAGGTGATGGGGGTAGTGGTGGAGTTGGTCAAGGTGACGGACATGGTGGAGCAGATAAAGAGATGTGTTTAAAAGTTGAGGTTGTTTCTGGGACTTTGCAATACAACCCAAATGACCTAAGACCTCAGGGTAGGAGCAGGAGAGGGAGGCTCAGAGAATTCAGTCAACAGCCAACCTCACCCCTCGCTGTAGGGCCTGTGAAAAGAAGGGAAGGCAGGAAGAGACCTCATGCTTTGCTAAGCCCTTTCCACGACTGTTGAATTTAGGATTTGAGGCTAAGCCAAGTCTACTTAAAAAGATCATAGCACCAGTGACAGTTGGGAAAAAGCACAGGTCTAAACTCGTTTAGCTGAAGCCACTTGTTGGTGTGGAGTGATGGACTATGAAGTGGAAATGCTTGTTCCTGTGTTTGCTTTTCCTAATAAGAGAAGATGGATGTGAAAGACCATAAGGCTTTACAAACATCCGGCGCTCATACTGGTGGTTGGACTTGCTTAGTCCTAATGGAGCTGAGCCATAACCACACACTGAGCTCGGGGGCTGGCTGCAAACACCCACAAAGGGCATGGCCGTGTGGGGTAATGAGCCCTTCACTCATGGATTCTTCCCAAGAATCCTATAAAGGGATTATTATATCCCCATTTCACAAAGGGAAAACTGAGGCCCAGATGGAAGTGCCCTGTCCTATAGCCCAGGCAAGACTCAACCGTTCACTCCAAGAACATAGTCTGAGCACTTCACCACCAGCCTACACTGTTCTCTCTCTGATGGGCAGGAAGTCTGCCTAGATTTCCGCGTTTTCCAAATCATGACTACTGTCTCAATCCCCCTCAGCAGACCGTGAGCCACCCAGGGTAGGTATTACACCCACACGACAGACTGGGTAACTGAGGCCCAGAGGGGGAAATTGTTGGCCTTGGATCATACAGCAAGCAGGGGGGAGCAGCCAGGGCTGGAATCCACACGTCCCATCATCCAGGCCCAGGCCAGAACCACATGAAGCCTGAAACCACACACCTCTTCCTCCAGTGCTGCTGCAGTCGCTGCCTTTGCCTTTTGAGGACAGGAGCCAGACAGGACAGGGGCGTCACATGCTTGACCCATGGCAGCAGTCAGGCCTCCCTGGCCAGGCCTGCCTTCTCTGTCCTTTATTCTCCTCCTCCTGTCTTTCTGTCTGTTGTGGATGGTCCGAATGGCCAGCAGCTCCCAGCTCCACAGCGATGGCCCAGCCCATATCTGCAGGAGTGTTGGGAGGGGTGTTCCAGGGAACCAACACTGTGGTTCTGATACGTCCAAGGAACAGCTAGGTGGGAGCCTCAGAGCCTGAGCACCTGAGGGTGAAAGGGACGTGGCCGGCTGTTGCCAGACGAGGAGGCTGTGGCAATGAGAACAAGCAGTAGTAACAATGAGGGCGAATAGCTAACGTCTACGGAGCACTTTCTCTTTACGTGCTTCTTGTGATCATGTGGAGTGATTCTATCATTATCTCCAAATTACAGTTAAGAAAACTGAAGGTCAGGGAGGTAAGAGGCTTACTCAAGTCTCAGAGCTAGTGGTCGAGTTGGGACTAGACCTAGGTCTTTCTGTCCTCAAGGCCGGGGCTGTCACATCACATCATGTTTGTCTAACACCATGGTGGCAGAATCAGAAACAGAATGACTGGTGGCCAGCCGGCCTTCCTTCCTTCCTTTCTTCCTTCCTTCCCTCCACAAAAGTGCACTGAGTACCTACTCTGTGCCAGGCACTGAGCAGGGTACTGGATAAACAGGCCAGACTCCCTTTATGCCTTTTGGAGCC